GCCTTTCTGAACCTTCGTCGTTGATCAAATTTCGTTCACCTATAAACAAGTGAGCAGTATACATAATCAGACTCCATTTTCTGTCTAGATAAACACCCTCCACGAGGTAATTAAACCATATATATGCTCTCCTACAATACATATATGTTCTCACTCTTGGAAACCATGTGCTCCCCCCTAAATCTTGTATATACATATAGGGAGTCAAACTAACATGCATAAGATGTATTAAGTGAGGAGGAGTTGGACTTACCGGCATTAATAAGTTCAAGGGTCCTGGATTTGAAATGAAGAAACTGCATGATCTGAATGTTCAAAGAAAACGGAACATATTTTGGGAGGGTAGAGGATCCTACAATTGCAAAATTTGCACCATTTTTGAACTTGGAATCTGTCAGTGAGTCCAGGTACGGGCTCAGCAGACTTGTATTCAAACTCTGGCCTGAACAAATCCATCAAGCTATTTAAACCTTCCTTACAAATCTCATATAACACTTTAGTGTGGATATGCATACATATATCTATTTATATATATGTATATGTGTGTGTAGTTGCATTTACCCACATAAAATAATAAACTAAATCATGGATTGTGTAGATCCTGCATTTAATTTATACTTTTATCTTATTTAACTTCATAATAATATTTGATTTAATAAAATTAATAATTTAATTCACTAATGTGTTTATGATGATACACTGACCAATCAAATTTTATTAAATTTCAACAAATCTATTAAAGTTAAATTTCATAATGAATTAAATTCTCTTAATAACAATGAATTAAAAATATAGAATGAATAAATTAACCCGCTGCTTAATAATAATAATAATAATTGAGATACAAATCACTGATGGCACGTGGGCCCACCGAGCAAAGTGGGTCCCATCATTTATCTGATCAAAATCACCGACGCTTTCGTTTCCACAAACGCATGTTTAACAAATTCAAATCTATAATTTACAAGCGCATCACTGCCGTTGGATTTGCCGACTTTGAACCCAAATGTAAAGAGAAGAAACACGTAACCACATTTTTCCATCAGTAGATCCAATTGGTTTTGACTGGGGAAGCAAAGGAGAGTTAATCACAAGGGAAGGCAGTGACTTACAGAGGATATCGATCAAGAGCCGCCCATCAGACAACCTGCCAGTTGATCTGCGGAAGAAGGTACGGCCATTGGGGAGAGTGACGGGAAAGCCGAGTCCGGCGACGAGTCCACCCGTGTCCGAGTTGGAATCGCCAAAGTTGAAAATCACGGGCGGGTTCCTGCACCGAGCAGCAGCAACTGAGTAGGCCAAAAAGCTAAAGATTAAGAAGATTTGAGGTAGGAAGGAAGAGTGAGTGGCCATAGTCGAGAGTGTGTGGAGGTTGGTTACCATATATCATAATAACTCCAAGTACAAGGTTCTGGGTGTCGCCCCCTTTTTATATTTGTCATTTACTAATTTTCTTGGCAAAGTGACTAAACGCAAGATTATAAAAATTATTTCCCTTTCGAATTTCCATGATGGGCTTAAAATTGTGGGCCTTCTGGGATGGATCCAATATTCATATGTTTCCGAAACCTGTTTTTAATTTGAGACAAATTTAATTTAATTTTTTTTATCTATATTGTATTAGACTTACAGATTATTGAATTTGAATATAACCATATTATTTTATTATATTAATAAATAATATAATTAAAATTAAGAAAATACAAACTTAATCAGATTTCTAATAAAAAAGTGTCTTCTAATTCTATCATATTTTCTTTTTAAAAAAAAAAGTTTTAGCTGTTCTCTTGTAATGAGAGATACAATGGAGCGGCTACAATGAGATTAGAGGTAAAATCGGTGAACCTTAAACCGTTAATGAAGATTTTCTCGGTAAGCAAACAGAAAACGTATTTGCACACTCGACAAAACTTGTTTTTTACTGCAAAAAAAAACATTCTACTGGCATCGATTCCGAAAGAAAGAGAAAGTGACCGTGGTTTGATCGGCTGCAATACATTCCACCATTTGTATTCTGCCGTCTCCTCCAACCCCTAAAACAGATAAAGAAAAAAAAGAAAGAAAGATCGCACAGTTCACACCATCAATCAGGGAAATGGGGGGGGGGGGGGGGGAGTGAGAGACAAACAAGAGAGGTGGGTGCCAGTTCTTTCGTGTAACCATGAATTCATGAAATTTGATTCCTTGAACGTTATGAAAATAGGAGAGTGGACAAAAACTTAAAGCTACTTTTATATATGTTATAGGCAATTACTTTGCTTCATTCAAAGCCCCCCAAATATTGCAAGAAATCTCGAACCGTTTCTCTTTTCTTGTATGTCAATTTGCCACTTTCAGTTTAAAAGTTTCCCAATATACATATATATATATATATATCTCTCTCTCTCTCTCTCTCTCTCTCTCCTCATTTTCTCTCCACACAAACACAACCTTCATTCACTCACTCACTCACTCTCTCTCTCTCTCTCTCTCTCTCTCTCTCTCCCTCTCAATAAGCGAGCTGTTTGGTTAGTGCGAATTTCAGAGAGAGTGAAAAAGAAGATGGGTGATTTACTGCCATTCTTGGCCATGGTTCTTGTTCAAGTAGGATATGCTGGCATGAATATTACCTCCAAATTAGCCATGGAATCAGGCATGAAGCCTCTTGTTCTTGTTGCATACCGTCAAATATTTGCCACTTTTGCCATCCTTCCCTTTGTCTACTTCTTGGAATGGTAATTAATTTTCTTCATACCTTTTTTCAAAAGAGCTGTCAGCTTGCCATATTCTCTGTTTTCTTTTCTTGGTATCTTTTTTATTTTCTTTCTTTTTATTTTTAAATTGAAGTTAGTCCCCTCTATCTTATGCCTATCTCTATATTGCGAATCCTTACTAGGTGAAAGATATGGGTTTTCCCTCTTGCATGTCTGTGAAAACAGGGGAGACCTTTGATCTCTTGATCCGCTAATGCAAAAAGCTCTGTTTTCTTTTTCAACCGAAGATTAATCTGAGCTCTAGTTAATTATTTGTTAATCTTCCTTCTCTAAGTGATTTTTGGAAATGTTGATTTTCCCTAGTCGCATATTACGATTAACTGAAGTGGACTCTGTTTGGTTAATGAGAAAGCGGAAGATGCATCAATAATTTTCTCTTTCTTTTCTTCTTGTTGATTTTCTGAAACGGTAACATTTATTAATTGCACAACACATGCTTCCTAAATTTTGAACTAACTGCAATCAAATTGGTGAGAAAGAAACAAAAAAGAAAGCATAACTGGTTCTTATTAAAGATTTAAAAATATTTCGTGGGAAACGTGTGTAACTCCTGGTCAATGCAAAAACCAAGTAGTCAAATTGAAGTGGTTTGCAAGGTGTACACGAAATACATGCATGGCTGCCAATTGCCAGGTTCGTTTCATTTGTCAGCTTCTCCTGCCAAACACAACGTGGCAGAAGAGAAAATGTTCCAGAGGGTGGCCATTTAATATCGGTTTAATACTAAGATTAGTCTCATTTTGATGCGTAATTTCAGGAAAACTCTGCCTCGGGTGACAATGCCTGTTCTTTTCCAGATTTTCTTATGTTCCCTTACTGGGTAAGTGTTAAAGTTTCAGGTTTATTTTATATTCAAGCGTTTGTAAAGAATCCAAAAGGTATTTAAATATCCAGTATGCAGGGCAACTGGAAACCAGGTGTTATACTTTGTTGGCCTGGAAAATTCAACGCCAACAATCGCATGCGCATTGAGCAATATACTGCCTGCAGTGACTTTTATACTGGCAACTATTTTCAGGTGATGATGTTAATCATCTATCTCATTCTTTTACTGCCACTAGAATGCTGTTGTTTCGTTTTATGTAGTTAATTTTTGTTGATAGGCAAGAAGCAGTAGGATTGAGCAAAGCTTCGGGGCAAGCGAAGGTGGTAGGGACGATTATATGCGTTGGGGGAGCCATGATACTGTCATTCTACCATGGACACGTTGTTGACATAGGGGAGTCGAGAATTCAGTGGGATTATGCTCAGAAAATGGGAGAACAAAATTCGAGCAGTGGGTCATCCAACTTCTTCTTGGGTCCTTTTCTTCTAATGGGTAGCTCTGTTTCTTGGGCAGCCTGGTTCATAATACAAGTAAGTGGGATTGTGGAGTTGATCTGTTTGTAGGGCTGTTGTAATTGTTTGATTTGGTGCAGGCAAGAATGAGCGAGAAATTTGAAGCTCCTTACACAAGCACATTACTGATGTGCTTCATGGGGAGCCTGGAATGTGGGTTGATAGCAGTCTGCGCGGATCATAATGTTTCTGAATGGTCGTTGAGGTCTACAATCAGGCTGGTTACAGCTCTGTACGCGGTACGATATGGTGAGGTTGCCTAAAAAGTGAAATTGAATGGGTTTGAGATGATTAATTTGATGAATGAATGCAGGGAATTGTGGCTTCCGGGCTGGGATTTTCCCTGATTTCCTGGTCGATCCAGAAAAAGGGAGCTCTTTACGTGTCAGTATTCAGCCCCCTGTTGCTGGTGGTGGTGGCTATAATGAGTTGGGCTCTGCTTGGTGAGAAAATATATGTTGGAAGGTATGACCACCTTTGTTTTGTTTTTAACCATGTAATATAATGAGCTAATATGGGTTGAATTTATTGTTTCAGTGTTGTAGGGTCTGTACTGGTCGTTGGCGGGCTTTACGTGGTTCTATGGGGGAAAGACAAGGAAATGAAGCAGACGATGGTAGAGAAAGAAGTGATGAAGGAAGACATGGAGTTGCAGATGCCGGCTTCCAACTCAAATGGGTTGTCATAATTTCCAAGTGAAGAAGCCCGCCCAGATGGATGGAATTTGGTTTCATGTCTATATAATCTGGGCACTTGTATGTTTTGACTTAAGTATATGATAACGTATCAAAAATTTCACTTCGTCTTCTCAATTCATCATTTGCAAAACCCAGAAACCCATTATATTATTTTAATTGAAACAACCAGTGAATTAAGATTTTAGACAATTGGATTTAAATAAAATGGATGTCTGGCCCAAATATTTGAATTGGACTCAAATTTTTATACCACCCCAACCCGTTACTCTCATTGCCTTCGCTTCAGACCAACTTACGAAAATGAAAAAGCCCCAATATACGTCTCTACCCGCAATCAATACTTCCGTCGTCTTCTTCTTCTTCTCCTTCTTCTGTCGCGCTCTCTCTACAGCACGACACATCACCATCCTCCACGTTTCTGCTTTCTTCCGTCCACCGGAACAAAGCTTCTATTACTGCAGGTGCCATGTTTTGCCTGTTTATTTCTTTTATGCATGTATACGCCATCTAGGAACGAGGTTTATTCTCGCTTGTCCTTTTTCTCTACCCGTCTCTGCTGCCAATTTCTGCAGCTCCTAGGGGGCACTATGTTTTCGTTTGGTGGCATAATCTTCTTTCCCGCTCGCATTTCCATTTCATTTTGTGCTTTTCACTACTCTATCCTTGCTGGATTAGTTGCTGTAACCTGTATATAATTATAATGTAATTTCTTGTACGAGGCTCAGGAGTGTAAGTTTGATTTATAAATTGCAGAAACGTGTAAAATTAGAGCCTTAATAATTTTACTTACCTTCACGCTTATGAAAAAACCTAGCATTCTGGTTCTGATTACGATGTAGATTATATTACGTGTAACTAAAATGGTTTCATGCCATATTTGAAAGAATCGTACTTTAAAACATTTTAGAAGGTGATAAAGACGGAATAAAGTGGGCTCGCTATGTTCATAGAAGATGACGCTACTCTTATCTACCTTTGTATCAATTAGTGGTTTCTTAAAACGTCTGTTACTATTGTTAGCAGAATGCGTGCTCTTACATCTCTGTTGGTCTTCATGTGCTTACAACAGAGTGCTTGTTCTTACTACCCTTTAACAGACTGCACGTTTTGCCATGACCATGTTTTATCGGTCTGATATTACTTTTTTGAATATAGTTTCTGCTAATACTATGGAGTGATGAAAATTTGGTTACCATAATGAATGATAGGCGGTTATGATGGAACTCTTTGTTTTGTCTTTTAACTCCCTTTTATTTTGCCGCCCTTCTGAAATGTATTGGAATCTCCTCTTCCATTGTGGTTTTGGACGCTGATGAAGCTTCATTAGATCCTTTTGTTTCATCTTTTTGGTAGCCGCAGAGAGATAGGGAGAGAGGAAGAGGAAATGTTAGACATAAATTTATTTAGAGAAGAGAAGAGTCACAAGCCAGAGATTGTTGGTGAGTCCCAACGACGGTGTTTTGCCAGCATTGATCTTGTTGACGAAATAATCAAACTCGACAAAGAATGGCGTCAATGTAACTATCATTGAAACACGAGTCTTGTCTTATCCCTCTCATTTTTCTGTCCTGTATTTCTTTAATCCTGTAGACATTTCAGATATAATGTGGTCTCTTTATTTGTTTAATTTCATTTTTTCTTTTGTTATATACGTATAGGTCAATTTGAAGTTGAAAATTATCGGAAGGAGTTCAACCATCTCAACAAACAAATTGCCCAACTTAGAATTGTGAGTTCTCCTTTTCTCTCAGTTATTATGGATTAGCTGTTTTTATATCTCTATATGTCTTGCTTGGTTCTTGAGAAAGTAAACTGATGCAGCAGAAGAGGAGAGAAATTTGCGAGAAAGTACACCAATCGGTGATAAGTTAATTGGGTAATCGGTTTGATTTCTCTTGAATTGTTAACCAAGAATTGATAGAATAATTCCTTTGCAGGATTCTTATTAGTTCTGACTAAATTAGCTGAGAAAATGTCGTCCGTTTCTGGACTAGAACCTAATTAGGTAGCACTAATGCTAGAGAATTAAATCTGTCCATAAAGAAAATAGGATCATAAAAAGTTCCTTATCTATAAGAGTTTCCCAAAAACAATAAAAGTATAAGAATAAAATACCAGGTTTAAATAGGAAAGCTTGGGAGAAAAATTTAATTAGCAAAGAGCTCTATTGTTTTTCCAGTTTTAGTCCTCCGGGAGCTAGGGAAAAAATTTCCTTCAGCTTTAGTTGTTTTTTGTGAGCCATGACTCAAGTAAATTACCAAATTATCCTATTCCAGCCTTTTGTTTTTGTCTCTCGAAATAGATTCAAAGATTTATTTTATTCTCACACAAAGGGCTTTTCAATTGTCCTCCTACGTAGCTTTTATATAAATATCAATGTAGGCATGCAAATTGATGGAGCACGTTGGTAGTAGCAGAATCAGGAGATTATGACAGTTGTTTAATTATTTATTTATGTTCTATAACTCTAGCAACATTTAGATCTTATTTATGCTTCAAATTTGTTTAAGTTTCCCATCAGGATTTATAGCCACATGTAGATTAGGATTTTTAAGAGAGAGAAATTATTCAGCCCAGGTGTTCTGAGAAATTTTCTCAGTCTTTCTGGCAGTGTAATGCAATCAAATCTTAAAGTAATACTCAAGGACTACTCTTCTTAAGTGTGATATTTAAGTAACCCTTGGGAAGAAATTGAGGTTTAACCCAATTTTCCAAATAGGCAAACTAATCTGTTTGTCCAACATCAATCATAGTTTTACATCCTTGCCCGAACCTTTTGTCTGGGGCTTGTGTGTGTTTATTTTTGTGTATATATTTTACGTCATGTTGCATGAGTATATATATGCAAATGTGCACAAAGATACATTTGTGTTCGAGTATTGTTTCAAAACAGAATGATTAACTCAATATGGGAAAAGGCGGGTGAGGATGCATCAGAGGTCTTGAAGTTGACTGCGAAGAACAAGCAGGAGTCAGCAGAGAAAGAAGCTGAAGTTCGTGATGCTTTCAATTTACTAAAATATAAATTGGCAGGAGTTGGAAACCTCGTGCATGATTCAGTTCCAGTGAGCAATGATGAGGTTTGTGGCTAGGTGCTTTCATTCTTTTTCACGTTACTTTTTCTGTGGCAGATTAATCAATTCGTTTATTTAGGTTTGCGGGCAAATAATGCTGTGATTAGGTGATGGGGTGAGAAGCCTTTGGTGCCACAGGCCAAAAGCTTAAAAATCATGTTGAACTTGTGGAGCTTCTCGGCATTGCAGATGCTAAAAAATGTAAGGCTATTAATCATGTTTTGGGATAGGTTTTCCCCACCTTGATTGTCTAGCCTGATTTTAGTTATTACCTAGAGTTTAGTAACATCTTTTGAATTTAAATTAATTCATTGGTTGATTGTAGACATGATTCTTTTCTAATACACTTGTTGCTGCCTTGATCACTATGTTGTATTTGAGAAATTACATCGTTAGAATCCAGGGATGGATGGTGTCATTTGATAACATCATGGATATATGATTCAGGTTGATTATATTCTTCGTCATTCAACAAAAAGTGTTACTACCTTTAGCATAAGTCACGAGTCATTCTGAAGCAAAAAATCAGCCATAGTTCTAAAGTAAAGTTCAACTCAAACAAACGGTATATCTTGCATTCAATAAATATACACATTTTTTTGTTTGTTCATCATTTGCTTTTAGAATTGGCTTCGATTATTTTTAGGACTTTCTTCAGTATTTTCCTTTACTTCTAAACTTGTGTGGACTTTTTTATGCCTCATTAGATCATTTTAACAAGATTGGAAACTATTTCAATTTTGAGGTTGTCTGCAAAACTGGATCTAGTGTAGTTTGCAATTCTGCATTGCCTTTCCCATCTATTTTTGACCCATTTACTTTTGATGTATGTCATAGGAGCTGATGTGGCAGGAGGTAGCGGTTTCTATCTCAAAGGAGATGGTGTTCGTCTTAATCAAGCCTTGATCAATTTTGGTCTTGATTTTTTGGAAAAGAGGGGATACATGGCATTGCAAACTCCTTTCTTTATGAGAAAAGAGATTATGGCTAAGTGTGCTCAATTGGCACAGTTCGATGAAGAGCTTTACAAGGTAACCTAGTTACACCTTAATTTTAATTTTTTCCCATTTTGTTATTTTTTTTTATTTTTTCACTTAGTTTCTTAAATTTTGGATAAATGACTTGGATATGATCAAGTTTCCTATAAGCTGTATACAGTATCATTCAATTGTTTCGTCATCCATTAAAGGACAGATGAATATTTAATTGGAATTTTTTGTCCTATGATTTAACTGATTATTTTTCTTTATTTTCCTTAATAGAGAGTTTTAACATCTGGTAAATGAGTTGCAATCCTTTCAAGTTTTGTATTTACAGTAGACAGTGTTATTCGATAGTTATATGTGTTGTCCATTAAGAGGATAGATAAACATTAAACTGGAATCCTTTTATGAGTAAGACCATTAAAGCTTTTTCTTTAATAGGTGAGCGGTGAGGGTGATGACAAGTATCTTATCACTACAGCTGAACAGCCACTTTGTGCTTATCATATAGATGACTGGATCCACCCTTCAGAGCTTCCGATAAGGTTTGTCGTAATCATTTTCTAGAGATTTGTGCTATGGTTACTGCTTAGATGGCAATGCATGTTGCTTTTCCTTATGGATGCAATTTTCTCTCCAGGTATGCTGGATATTCATCTTGCTTCAGTAAAGAAGCTGGTTTGCATGGTTGAGATACTGTTGGAATTTTCCGGGTTCATCAATTTGAGAAAGTGGAGCAGTTTTGCATTACCAGTCCCAATGGCAATGATTCTTGGGACATGCATGAAGAATGATCAACAACTCTGAAGAATTCTATAAGATGGTGTGTTTATTTTCTCTTAAACCTGTTACTTTGTAAAACGTGTAAATTTATTATTCATTTTGGAGATAGAAGCAATCAGCAAACTAGAAGTACATATATATTCGTCAATGTGCACATGCATGTCCGACGATGCATGCAGACTTTCCTGTTCTTGCTGCATATGAGATTGATTAAACTGTTGACAATCCTAACTGAGTTGTATCCTTTGCAGCTTAAAATTCCGTACCAAGTTGTGGCCATTGTATCTGGTGCTTTGAATGATGCAGCTGCAAAGAAGTATGACTTGGAGGGATGGTTTCCTGCATCTGAGACTTATAGAGAACTGGTGTCCTGTTCAAATTGTACAGACTACCAGTCCAGGAATTTAGAAATTAGATCTGGGCAAAAGAAGGTAGATGTATTAACACTGTTACATAAAACACCTCCATCTTTAGCGTTATTTAAATATAAACGCTTGTTGGTGGGTCATATGCCAAAAGGAACGGGTTGAATAAATGTTCCATATCTAGTTTCATACTTCTGGTACTAATATATTTTCTTAATGATCCCATTTTTTATTTAATTTATGCTTTTATGTTTCAGAATGAGAAGGAAAAACAATATGTTCATATGTTGAACTCTACACTCACAGCAACGGAGAGGACAATTTGCTGCATTCTTGAGAATTATCAGAGGGAAGATGGAGTTGAGGTGCTTGAAGCTTTACAGCCATTCATGGGTGGCAAGACATTTTTGCCATTCAAGAGCAAGCCAGTTGCTGAAGTTAAAGGTAAAAAATCCAAGGCCTAGCCTCCACGCATTGGCTGACACATAAATATTGGATTATTTTGTAATGGATTATTGCTAATCTTACAGAATCATGAAGTTGTTTAGTTGCAATTGTCGTTGGATCCAACATCGATCTTTTTCTTCTGCTTGTGTTTGTGAGGTTTATCCGGGTTTTTGACTTGATTTTTGTACTTGATTCCCGAGAATTGAATCACTTCATGGTGATGAAGCAAGCAAGTCTTTCTTCTTGTTGTCCCTTTTATATAGATAAAGAGCAGGGTTTTTGTCTTTTTTATGTTTTTGAAGATCCAATGCAGTTTTAAAGATGTATAAACGAGGAGTGATTGCTGTAGTACATGTAATATTTTGTAACAGAAGGTGATTCGTAATCGCGGAAGTGCATTCATGAAAACAAAAATGAGAAACAGCGATCAACTAGATTGAATTCAGAATCATCATGTATTTATTGGTTCTTTAACCCAGCAACCCATAACTTGTAAAGGGAATTAATTGATTACAGGCGTATGGTGATTATGTTTCCAGCTACAATTGCCATGGCAAGCAAAATTCTCATCTCTCTATTCCTCTCGGGGAGATCAGTGACAGAATCGGGAGACACACAGCGACCTTGTGCTCGGGGTGTGATCATTTCAGCTCTGAGCATGTTCTCAAAATCTTTTTGAATAAAAAAATGGACAGCAAATTTAAATGCGTCCACCACCTCTATATAACCTCTCTCACATATTTCCAGAGCTATCCTTGCAGACGGGTCTGTTGTGTGTTGAAGAGTTTGTAGTACGAAGTGCAGCGTGTTGGTTGCATTATTCAGAGACTGATCCAAAGTTATCCAGGTGAGGTCGAAAATGGTGGCTGACGGCCCGTTGAGGTTGTCGTTGAATGTTCTGTTGCAGAATCCGTATTCCTCCATCGAGCGACAGATCGAATCAATCAGCTTCTGAGTTCTCTCATCTGCACACTCTACAAATATCGGCCTCAACACTATCAAACCCACGACCAAAACCCAGGCACCTTCCCCCATTCTCTTCACTCAGATTACTCTCGTCGATTCAACTCAACCTTCATTTTATATTACCAACCTTTCTCTATTGGATGCATAAATTATACTATGAAGGAAAGAACATTATATCTTTACCAAATGAAGTATAAAAAAAAATCCAATCCTCATTTTTTTCTATATATGCATATATAGTTATGATTATATTAAATTTGGTATAAACAGTTATAGAATATTATCACGTGTGTCATACATTTATATGACATATATTAAGTAAGTCATTAATGATATCTATATTTCTTAAGAAATTATATTTTTATTAATGTATATATATTACCTAATTATATGAAACATATATTTATTATAAAATAAATAGTAAATAATATATTTATGGTATTAACGAAAAGAGAGATTATAGAATGAATAATAAAGATATAAAGATCTTCCTTTTTTTTAAAAAAATTTTAATTACTGTTTTTTCTTTTTTATTCTTGTGGATAAATGAATTTGAGTTAAGTAATAATATTGAACAAACATGTAGAGTAGTATTAGTTAATACTATATGTTTTTTGCATTAACTGAAAGTTTTTTACAGTCGATCTCTACACCACCAATCAAACAAAGACGAGAGAGAAGACTCATGAATAATTTAGGTCATCTCTTCCTACTCCTTAAAAAACTTTAAAAAGAAAAAAAAAAAAAAAAGGAGAGAGAGGATCTCCCATTTTGAATATAATCATGGGAGATCAAATTCGATTTAGCAACAACAGGAAAACTTTCTTTTTTTTTTAAATTCAATCAGTACATATATGTGGGTAGCAATAATCATGATGGCGGTGGTTAAGCAGCAGATGGGGCGGTTATATAGTTAACGACGCCGGCCTCCGAGAAAGCATCGAAGAATGGTAGAAGTATCAAAGACTGATCATCTTCTCCATGATGAGGCGCGGTATAGTTGATGTAGTCTAATGACTCATCGTCATATACTTCCCACCATTTCTTCACCAACATTTTTATGTCTTCCCTGTCCATATTCTCCTCTTTTCCCGTGTACCTCCATGGCTTGGAACCCTGTAGAACAGCAGCATGGTGCGTGAGTGATTAAACTATATAAACTGAAGACGACATCTAATCAGATTTAATTTATATATACTCACAGCTGCGCAATAATGAACGACTTTGACTTGGTCAAGTTGAATGTTCTCAGGATGGCGCCATAGCATAGCCAGAACGAGGTTGTAAACTGGAGGGATTGGCTTGTAAATGTCCCTGAAGTACATGTTCAAGAAATCCTGCATGTGGACAGAAGATTTTTTAAGTACCAGTATAACTATATATGGCAGTAAAACGTGGTTGAATTGAATTTGACCTGCTCAGCAAAAGGGGTTGGAGGAGTGAGCTGGAGGGTTTTCAAGAGATGATGGTAAGTGGGAAGACTTGGTTGGAAGACGAACATGCCAGCGTTGAAGTAAAGAGGAGGTTTTGGACCTAACACAGATGGCCAATGAACCCGGTTGGGGCACTGTTGGCAGTACCCGACCCGATACTGAGGACTGTGACTCCATGTTTTCTCACAGAAGCAATCCATCACCGCGTAAAAGTACCCATCTTCCATCTCGAACAGGTGATCGATGTTATCAAATACTTGAATATCTCCATCCAAGTATATCATCTTGCTGTACTCTACAAACTGCAAATTGAACCCACGTGTCAAATACCCAATTCAACAAAAATAAATATATATATATAATAATCGCGTACGTTTCCAAAAGTTCTAACCTCCCAAATACGAAGCTTGGAATAGTTGATCACATAGTAAGCCATGGCAAACTGGGTCTGGTTATCCGGCGGGTAAACCGGCGTGATCTCCTTCACGACGCAGCCTTGCTCCACCAATATTCTCCGGTGATCTTCCGGCACGTCCGGCAATATGGCCACCACAAGTGGGTACTTGCTCTTCACCTTCCTCAGACCCTTGGCCAGACCTACCACGCCCTTCACGTAGTCTCCATTGCCAGCCAAGAATGTAACGTAGGCCCTGTTTGGGAGACTAGCAGCCTTAGCTAGGGCCAGGGTTGTGGTCTTCATGTCAGGAGCCATCTTTGATTTTCAACAAAAAGACGGATGTTAATTAGCTGGAAGTGTTGTTTCTTAGTATTCTCAACCTGAACTTGTTGTCTTGGAATTGCAGGAGGAAGGAGGCCACTTATGGTGTTTATATAGAAAATGGGAGCTCAGATACACTCTACTAAATTTATTATCAATAATATATATTTAAAAAAAGAAAAATACTGGTAGACTAATTTATTTATTTATTCATTTTAAAGATAATATAATTAACTCGGAGTGTGAACTAATAATCTAACCCCTCTAGACCAGTCGTTACTTTGACTCGTTGCCTCATATTTTGGATATTACCTACTTACGCTGTACATGCCACGCGGCGTCGTTTTAGTAATTTCTGTTCGACACTCGTTCAAAAACCAACGGTCAGTACAAGGAAGCTTCTCGTCTGCGGCATTTAGCAAACCACCGGTTCAACTGCCACCGACAAGTCCCACCGAAATCTAAAATTAATAGCTGACATAAGATTCTGTGTACACGTGGCTCCCTCCCGGGCGTCCAATCTACACGAGGAAGGCGCGCCGCTGTTTACGAATGATGTCACGGAGACACGTGTCAGAATCGTAAAAGTCGGTTGTAAAGTGTTGTTTCGCTTGTGGGGTCTACAATATCCATAACGTGTCTGCCTTATCGAGCAAGTAAACACCTGAGAGGGCGGTGTTTCGCCAACGTGGCTCAAAAGGGTAACGCTTCGCGAATTGATCCGACGGTCGGAGGCAGCGTGATAAGTTTAGTTTGGTTAGTTGAGCCACCCACCATGTTTAATTAATGTAAACAAAATAGATTTAGGATTTAATTAAGATAGCGAGAAATTTCAAAAATTTAGACTAACCGACCAGTTTACTTTTTCAAATTTGGATAAACCCTGTGGCAATCTTAATGGGTTACATCTTATATGATGTTTTCCTTTCTGAACTTTATACCAAACCCACCATTTTTAAAATGGAAAGTTGTAAATTTTGATGAGGATATTCTACGACATTCGATTACCTTGTTGTTGTTTTTTTGATTTTGTTCTTTTGATTGGGTTAAGATCCCCCCCCCCCCTTAGGCACACCAGTTTTAGCTTACATCACAAATAATAAAATTCTCTGTTAACTTGGAGGCCAAGTCTTTCCTGAGGTACAGTGACTCCATGGATAATTTTCGATATTCAAACTTTGAAATGCTCGAAGGAGGGTGGGTCTGGTCATACATTTGGTTCTTTTTTATTTATATATTTTCACATAAAATGACAGCTTAGGTAAAATGATAAAAGGCTCCTTCAAAAATTATTTCTTTGAAACTGCACTGTCAAGTCCAGTTTTTATTTATTCCCCATAGCTGGTGCATTTCAGATGCCAATGTTTTACATCCCAAAAGAGACCCTGAATCTCACTGGTTAAAACAAATATTGGAGTTCTAGGACTGGAGGGCAAACTTCTTGCCAAGAATCATATCATCAGTTGAGAAATCAGCCTCCTTCCTGTATGTTCCTCTGCCGAAGTCTAGATTGTACGAGTCAGCAAGACCTTCAACAAGATCAAACTCTGGTTCCCATCCGAGCACGTGCTTTGCTTTGTCGATGGATGCAAAGAAATGCTGCATTACATTTCATCACAGTAATGAGAAAATGTTGACACTGTTGAGAGATACCAAAAGGATTGTTACTTTAACTAGGGGAAACTGGTTCTTTTTCTTTCCTGTGTATATTCTTCTTTACCTGGTCACGGAATGGAAACGCCTTCTTTTTGCCAAAATCAAACTCTTTCGGATTATAGTGAACAATTTCGGGCTCAGGAAAACCAGCAGCCTGGGAGAGAATCAACGAATGACAAGGAGAAAGAGACAAGACATTCATCTAATAAGACTTTATACTAGGAAAGACAACATGTGTTCTTTTTTATTTAGTAAAGTGAGGTCAGAGTTACCTTGGCACATGCTCTCGCTAACCCATCAAAAGTGACATACTTCTCTCCGGAGATGTTGAATACTTGCTTGCAGGCCTTTTCGTTTCCAAGAACCATAAGAAAAGCTTTTGCCAAATCCTGAGATTGTTCAATCACTTCGTTTATAAAAGTGCATTTTTTATGTTTTTGGAAAAACATCATCCAAGCTTTATTTTTTTTGCGTTGGGAACCGTTATAACAGGGTACGAACTAATCCAATATCCAGTTGTTCCTATTGGAACAAAACGTTGCTCCTTTTCTTAGAGAATCACTTCAACAATAAAGTTGCCTTTTAGCAAATAAACAATTTGATCAGCAAAGAATTAATCTACCAGAGGAGGTGAAAAGAAACAGGCATAGCAATCAAATATTAAAATCTTACTAATTCCTCAGAGTTGCTTGAAGAACAAGTCTTAATGCAGAGAAGAATAATGAATTTGCTAACCTTTACATGACCAAGCTGGGTTGTTTGCATTCCTGAGTTGGGAATAGGAATTGGGCGACCGGCTTTCAATCGGTGAAAGAACCACTCTTCCACAGGGTTGTAGTTCAAGGGTCCATAAATGTATACTGGCCTTAAAGAAGTCCAGTTAACGCCTTTTGATTCTAGTAAACTTTCTGTCTCAAGCTTTCCCTTGTGCCTGCTCTTCGGATCAACTGCATCCGTCTATAACCAGGAACTGACTATAAGGAGCGATACAGACTCATGATAAATATCATGAAAAAACAGACACAGAAAGTGGGGAAGCAAAAGGGAATGAGAAGAAGCTAACAACAGTGCAGTACACCATGCAAGGTATAGACGTAAACCTTCTGGAGATTAGTCCAAAACCATATCAAAAGGGCAGAAAGCAACATGCTAGGATTTAACCGTGCAAGATTATCAATGTGACAGGAAAAGAAAAAGAATATTGCTGGAACTTAGAAGCCAAACTAGAAATCCACATGGTAATTTATATTAGATCCTAAACGCTCATCTTTCTCAGCAATTTGTGTCACTTAAACAAAAATTCTTCTTTTCCATGTGATATGGACCTCTCAGTCAGACTATCATCATATTACCTCAAAGTGTGGCAAAAGGTCAGACTTGAGGTAAACGCCAGCTGACGAGCAGTATATGTACCTGCAAATTAACAGAGGTTCTGAAATAAAAAAAGATACCACTTTTTGTAGAAAATGAAAAATCTTCCACAGCCATTATTTTCATACAAAATGCAAAAGGAAAAATATATGTTCTTCAAAATTTATGATCTTGTGGCCTAGGTGGATTAATCAAATCCTATTAGTGAATTACTTCAGTCTTGAAAAAATAAAAATAGGTTTCAATCAACAGATGAATTATTTATCTTTTTATTTTTCCCAAATTTAATCCATGAAACCATCCACTCTCTCATGCTAGTAAAATATGACAGCAAGCCTTAAACCATCCTACAGCATGACTGTTCAGAGCTTACTGTTCCAGTTTTGGAAGTGCGTCCTATTAGTGAATTACTGTTCCAGTAATCCTATTAGTGAATTACTTCAGTCTTGAAAAAATAAAAATAGGTTTCAATCAACAGATGAATTATTTATCTTTTTATTTTTCCCAAATTTAATCCATGAAACCATCCACTCTCTCATGCTAGTAAAATATGACAGCAAGCCTTAAACCATCCTACAGCATGACTGTTCAGAGCTTACTGTTCCAGTTTTGGAAGTGCGTCCAATATGGGTTCAACTTCATCAGCTTCTCGTCCTTCAAAGATAAAAAAAAAAAAAAAGAATGTCACTGGCTGAAGCAAATTGAACAGAGAAAGCTACCCTGCCGTGTGAGTCTTATATACTAGAGTAGCTGTAAGTAGAGAACTATGTTCACCATTTATATCATACACAACATCAAAGCCTTCAGCCGAGAGACTAGACTTCACAAACTCGAAATCTTTTCTGTCTCCCTTCAAGTGCAAGATCTAGCAAATCATGACAACAAACAAATCAAATTCAAGCTAAGAACACTAGCTAGTTCATTTACTCGAAGAAGATTTACATATCAGAAACAACACAAGCTCCTTATCTTATATTAGAGGTTTAAGGCCGAAGTGTTAAAACCTTGGAAGAAAAATCAGTATAGTCCTGATCTGATTCACCAGGCAACTGTGTGGTGATTGGTGCTTTACCTCTAGTAAACAAGGTCACCTGCCCCAAAAAACGAAATTCATATTTACTTCCAAGTGCTTGACAATACTGAATCCATGCCACATTTCAAACAAACATATGAGTGATATATACACCTGGTGACCCTCTTTGACAAGAAGTCTTGACAAAAACACACCAATAAATCGAGTGCCACCCATTACGAGAATTTTCTTGGCACTTGATGCTGTAACATGTAGTAATCCTTTCGGTTGATATACTCTTCTCTTACACTGCAAATGGACATGAATTCATCATGTAGATGAAGCACATGATAAAACATTTGACTTGAGAGAAAATAAGTTCTACGCGACATTAACTCAAGCATCTAGCGAGCTACTGAGAATATAACAGACGCCCATACAAAAGAACAACCGGCAAGGAAAAAGTTCACATTTTACCACAAGAAAATTTTCTCAAAAGAACAAAAAAAACTTGTATGGACCTGAACTTGGGTGTGAAGTTTGGTGCCACTGAAATCAGAAAGGGAGGAATGAAGAAAAGAGAAAGAGGGTTGTTTAGGCTGCTGCAACACCACCAAAGTCGCCATGGGTACTCTCTAATCTCCTTCCCCCACTGTTGAATAACTGAATTTTGAATGATGACGATGATGGTCTGCCCCATCCTTTGTTCCTTGGCTGCGTGTAATTGTAGCACAGGTTTGGATGATAAGACAGTAAGCCACCTGAGCCTCTCGTTAGAAACAAATGATTGCCAACGTATAACATTTTTTTTGTGGACCTTTTTGCTTGGGCTGCCGCAGCAATTTTTGTCATGTTGGTTGAATCTAGGCTGACTGTATAAATGTTCTTAATTCTGAGTATTCTGGTTCAAAATTCTTTAGGCCCAATAAATTTTCTCTATGATGGTTTAAGTCTTGCTGTCATACCGATGAGCCAAACCATCCCACCACGATCCCACATTAATGATGTGGTTTGTTTTGCCTCAGGTTCTTAGATTTATTGTTATTTGTGTTATATATTTATATATTCACTCTTAACAATTATAAATTTATAAAATAACTAATAATTCAAGTTATACTAAAATAACTACAAGTATACCGAAGTACGAAGAGTAAATAAAATTTGAGCGAGAATAAATCAAACGCTGCAAGTAGGAATTAAATATAGATGGCTAAACAATTGATCTACAAG